ATTACTTTATTGTTCTTCATATAAAAGGACTTTAAAATTCTTCTACAAAGAGGCAAATTCCAGCTAAATAGAACCCAGGCCTTATGGTGTACAGTGCCACATTCCTTCTTCTAAAGTCAGCAGCTGACATACTCGGATATGCTTCCTTTACAAAATGAGGCACGGAATCTTATAAACAGAAAAATCCTCTCTATATTTAAATTACAGAGATAAAATCTAGAATGCATAAATTATTATCTCTCTGCATTTGTAAATTTATTCTCTAGAATATATAAGGTTCTTGGCAATACAAGGGAGGAGACCAAGCTCGGCTGCTGGGACCATGCTCAGAGGATTGAGGGAAAAATACTGGTTTTCAGAATTGCCAAGATTGTGTAAAAAGAACCTAAGCCAGTGGGAATTACTGGGGGATGTTTTCCCATTATGTCTCTTCATACATTTGATCCAAAGATATTAGGTCCTTCATCTGCTGCAGCTTAACAAAGCTCACTTTAATTAAGAGTCTCTAATACAAGACTGATGTATCATTACTAATCAGGCCTTGGTCAGCTTGGAATGAAATACACAGCAACTATTAGACGGCTGAATTGGTGCGTGTGCAGTGCAGAGTTTTAAAAATTCAAGAACTATACACATTAAGCTCTGCTACTTCAGAGGCGAAGCCAACGTGATCAATTAAGACATGCTCAAAATTAATACCGCAGTATTTGTGATGCAACTGCTGAGCTTTATTTTTAGAATCACATTGAGCAAAGCTGTATTACCTTTTAAGATTTCTAAGTCTTCCTCCTCTGGCTTTCACAGACCTGACCCACTGGTGAAAGGGATTACACAGCAGAAATTCAGCAAGTTACATGAAAGCCAAAAAGCTACATTTTCCCCATAAAACATAAAATTTCCAGAGACAGAGTTTCAAAACTGATCAAGTTAATATTTGGAACACATCAAGATGAAATGCATTAAGTTTTTCAAATACTTTAATTAACTTCATAAAGGTCATCACTGACAGAAATATAAAGCAATATTCAAAGCACAAAATATGTGTCCACAGAAACAAAGTATTTTAATTCAGTGTCAGAAAAGGGTCGCTGGTCCAGATGGATTTGTTCTAATTAAAAGCAGCATGGACCTACACTCAAGCCCTATATTCCCAACAAGAAACAGCCTTTTTTGTTTCAGAGAATAGTTTTATTTTGCATTCAGCATCTGAAATAGATTTTTTTAAAGAAAGGAAGAAAAGAAAAGCCACATTTGCTTTCAAGTTTGACATCCTAAAGTGCCCTAGTGCTCTTTCCCCTGACATGTCCATCACAGCAAACCAGGCTCCTAGGCTCCTACCTCAGTAATACTTTATATAAATAACAAAAGTCAATTCATAAATCATTATTCAGCATGAGTTTTAGGGTCAGATCCCAGACTAGAGGATCGGCTCAAGACAGCATAGAAGCTGGGCAAAAGTTCAGATTGCCTCATCTTGGTCTGATGCAGCCTGCAGATTTGACAATGGTTGAGCCCCTTTTCTTTTCTCTTGTTATTGCTGGGTTCTCACATCCTATCCTCCTTCCATATATATTTCTCTAAAAGAAGAAATCCATCATGCTCACTTTGGTAGCCCATATATTAAAATTAAAAGAAGAAATACAAGGAAATAAGAGCGAGAGTGCTTGCTTTAATTTTATCTTTTTTAAATGTGTTTAGTACAGGGTCTACGGGGTCTCACTACACAGATCAGACTCGTAGTGATCCTCCTGTTTTCAACGTCCCAAGTGATTTTATCCTTTTTTTTTTTTTTTTTTTGATCCAGTAAATAAACTCTTATGGAAAAAAAAAAAAAAACCTCCCCACTGCCACTTCATAGACTCTGAGAAAACCTCACAGTGGCTCTTAACTCACACTTTAACGTATACACTTTTCTGACCAAAAGATCTTATAGAAGGGAGCATGCTCTGTACTTCTCTATAGAGTGATTCAAACAGATGATTGCTTATGAAACAGCAATCCAGAGACAATTTCATTAAAACTCTTACATCTGAGTCTTAAGTACAGCGTCCCTGTTTAGAATGGATTATGAAAGCATTGTAGAAAACTCAGTTCCATCAATGCAGTGTCAAAACTCAGACACGTTTTCATGCTTATTTTCCCATTAATATTTAAGAAGATTTCATAGCCTTCGTGCCATTAGATTTTTGAAAAGTGCAAAAACATTTCTATCTGTAAGCAATGCTACGTGGTAAATGTTTTTCAAAACTATGAAACAAAAAAGGAAATAATTCTGCTACAGCTTTTTTTTAAAAAAGTTTTTATACTACATGCTTGAAGGTTATACTCATAGGTATAACCTTCAAATCACCTTCAAAAGTGTCAAAGTGAGACTCTAATATAAAAGGGAACACTTCCCCAGATGAAAATCCAGATCCATCATTTCTTAAGCCACGGAGATGTTTTAACCTTAATAAAGTGTCTGTTATAATTTCATGAATTACCCTGTAGGGCCCAGAGTAAGCATTATTGCGGGTGATATTGATGCTAAAATTTAAGCAATAGGTGCTAGATTTAGCCTAAGTAATTGGCTGTGATTTTATTTGTACACAACTCTTTGCTCTCTGCATAACCAGTTGGAAGCTAACAGTTTTTGAGCTAGTTTAGATACAAGGCAAAACAGGCTAATTGTGAGATTAGACATGTGTTTCCTTGTAAATGTCTCTCTGCAGAGTCATCTCATTGCCAAAGCCCTGAAGAAAACTAACAGCTGAAGCCTGCCTGTTAACCATGTGCTCCCCTTGCAGATTTGTGCAAAAGAAACCACCAAGGATTTTTATATATTTTAATAGAAACAGAAAGTGACACAAAAACTGAGGTAAAATCACTTCATAATTAGAATGCAGCACTAGCTAAATAGCATCCTGCTCAGGCTAAAGCTGAAAATCTGGTACTTTACAGAAGCAACAAATTTTAACATCTTTCCTTTATTTGTCCATTTGAAACAAGAAAGTCTAATTTTTATAGTATTCACGACTCAGTCCCCCAATTGCCATTTGTCTCTCTTAGCAACTTGAGACATGAGCTCTACTTGCCCGAGAGCTAGCTATCACTCAGCGGACTAGAGCAGCTGAGTTCCCTAGCAGCCTGCAGTGCTGCAGTCTTGCGTTAGTGAAACAAAAGTGATTCCCTAAATTAACCCCTTGTCCTTAAAACATTATTTCTATTTTAACATTTTAACACAGATGGGCCAAGGGAGCTCAGAAAATTTTTGAATAAAGTCCTGGAGCAGCCCAACCCTTTTCTGATTAACTTACTGATTAATGCGGCCCTGTCATTTAAAAGACTAGAGAAAGCTCGCTATGAAAAGGAGCTAGTTGAGTCTGAAGTCTCTACTGTTCTCAAACAGTGGCTCCTCCTCACCACTGCAGCAAGCGTTTCACGCCCGATCACACCCGAGGTACATACGTGTGCCCTCCACATTGTCATTAGCCCTGCATCCATCCTTCATTTTGTCTTGCAGTGTTCTGAACCTTTTTAACCCTGTTACGCCCAATGCATTATCCAAGATAAAAGGATAACAATCAGGGACGCATCACACAGCAAGAAGTTTGTGTACAGCCCTTGTGTAAATTAACGATATTAGGATAAGGTATATGTATCCCCAATCAGTTACTAAAATCTTAAAAGGGGGAAAAATATATTGCTTCACTCAAGGCTGTGAGGAGCCTGTTGGGCAACTTTTAAAATTAATTTAAAATTAATCCAAGCGCTCTTTTAATCATTCTCTTACACACAAAAGGTACTAAACCTACAGGTAATAGTCAGTTGTTTTCAAACATCATAAACTATCTCCCTGGAGATTTCCTCTCTGCAGATTTCAAATTTTCTTTCCAAGGAATATTTGACCTTCACATTCCAAGCCCTGTGTCTCCTGATTCCCCTCACCAATCGTACATTACAAAATTCAAAGTGCGCTTCAGCCACATATTTTTGTTAAGTGACTTTCATGAATTTTATCTCTTTTCAAAGTATGCAATCTGTTTATTGTGCCAACTCTGCATTGCAGAGAGATCTAAGCGTGGGATTCGAGCCCGGCTCCTGTAATGAGAATCTCTACAGGCAGGCTTTATCTGTCTTTACTCGGGGAGCGAGGGGGCAGGGAACCCCCTTCCCCTGCCAACCTGGTGGGCGAGACTGGGCCTCAAGCCCACCCCGACGGCGCAGTCGCTTCCGCCTGGACTGGGCGCTGTCCTTGGTGCTGCCGACTCCAGGCGAGCACCAGCGCCTTACCTTCTGCCCCCGCGGAAATGCAGACGTCCCCCAAACGTTAAGCAGAATGTCGTGCCATATCCCACTTTTAATATAAGTAACTGTCCCCAGCCTGTCCTCTTTGTCCCCTTCCTGAAGCATTCAATCCGAGCGTTCCTCAAAGTCTTTTCTTCTTCAAGACACAACTCCTCTGCGCTCATCTCTGGCTGCTTTACGACAAGGGGTGGGGGAAGGGAAGAGAGAGAAGGGAGATGAAGATGGGGGAGGGGAGAGAGAACAGGGGTTGTGGGGGAAAGAAAGGACTGGAAGGCCAAAGTCCCAGAGGAATGGGCTTCGGGAGAAGGGCGGGGTGAGTGAAACTAAAGATCGCTAGAGGCAGGAGGAAGAAGAGCGGCCCCAAAGTCGGGGAAGTGAGGGCGCACAGCAGATGGATAAAGCAAAAAAGTAACGGGGACGGGAAAAGCAGAGAAAGCTGTGAAGCTCTGAAGTGGAGGGCTGAAAGAACAAGGGGACCCTGGGGGTCGGGAAAGACTGCCCAAAGCGAAGGAGGGCGACTCACAAAGAAAGGGCGGTGGGTAGGTATTCGCACCCAGGACTCAAACTACGATCTGAAGATGAAAGACGGAGAGAGGGGAATCGCGGGGCGCCGAGGGGTCCAGGACTAAAAGGCAAGCTGGGGGAGGGGCTGGGACGGGGCAGCCAAGTACGGGGTGCGCTGCGGCGCCGGCCCACGTGGAGTGGGAGCTGAATCACCGCCGAGCCGCCTCCCCCTTTCCCGGCCCGGGCCCGCAGTCCCCGCCTCCTCGGCCGCCGCCTCCGCGGGGCGGGGCCCTGGCCCGGGACCAGCTGCGCGGCTATAAATGGGCTGCGGCGAGGCCGGCGGGTCGCTGTGACAGCCACACACTCCAAGGCCTCCAAGATGAGCTACACGTTGGACCCGCTGGGCAACCCGTCCGCCTACCGGCGGATAACCGAGACCCGCTCCAGCTTCAGCCGGGTCAGCGGCTCCCCGTCCAGCGGCTTCCGCTCGCAGTCGTGGTCCCGCGGCTCGCCCAGCACCGTGTCCTCCTCCTACAAGCGCAGCAGCGCGCTCGCCCCGCGCCTCACCTACAGCTCGGCCATGCTCAGCTCCGCCGAGAGCAGCCTCGACTTCAGCCAGTCCTCGTCCCTGCTCAACGGCGGCTCCGGCGGCGACTACAAGCTGTCCCGCTCCAACGAGAAGGAACAGCTGCAGGGGCTGAACGACCGCTTCGCCGGCTACATCGAGAAAGTGCACTTCTTGGAGCAGCAGAACAAGGAGATAGAGGCAGAAATCCAGGCGCTGCGGCAGAAGCAGGCCTCGCACGCCCAGCTGGGCGACGCGTACGACCAGGAGATCCGCGAGCTGCGCGCCGCCCTCGAGCTGGTGAACCACGAGAAGGCTCAGGTGCAGCTGGACTCCGACCACCTGGAAGAAGACATCCACCGGCTCAAGGAGCGCTTCGAGGAGGAGGCCCGGCTGCGCGACGACACGGAGGCTGCCATCCGTGCTCTGCGCAAAGACATCGAAGAGTCATCGCTGGTCAAGGTGGAGCTGGACAAGAAGGTGCAGTCGCTGCAGGATGAGGTGGCCTTCCTGCGGAGCAACCACGAGGAGGAGGTGGCGGACCTGCTGGCCCAGATCCAGGCGTCGCACATCACGGTGGAACGCAAAGACTACCTGAAGACCGATATCTCGACGGCGCTGAAGGAGATCCGCTCGCAACTCGAGTGTCACTCGGATCAGAACATGCACCAGGCCGAAGAATGGTTCAAATGCCGCTACGCCAAGCTCACCGAAGCGGCCGAGCAGAACAAGGAGGCCATCCGCTCGGCCAAGGAAGAGATCGCCGAGTACCGGCGCCAGCTGCAGTCCAAGAGCATCGAGCTCGAGTCGGTGCGCGGCACCAAGGAGTCCCTGGAGCGGCAGCTCAGCGACATCGAGGAGCGCCACAACCACGACCTCAGCAGCTACCAGGTAAGAACCGCGGCTGCGCGGCCAGCCTGCGCCAGCGCCAGCGCCGCGCGTCCCCGCCGCTCCCGCGCGCGCCTGAGCGTCCTCTGTCGCGCTCCCTGGTGGCCACTCGCCAAGGCGCGCGGGTGCGGCAGACCCAAGTCAGGAGTGGTCGAGGATCCTCCTGGCCCCTCTCCTCCACGCCCCGCCCCCGTCTACTTGCCGCGGCTGCCCACGAGTCCTGACTTTGTGCAAAGGTGTGGCTCTTGCCTCGGCCGCTCTAGTTTTGCGCACTTACGCGCTTAAAGAAGGTAAGATGATAAATGAACAACTTTAGGATAGCTCCGGTAGAGACCCAGGCATCCTCCAACTTCCCGACAGCAACGCACGAGATCTCAGAACTGGTGTGAGCCCCAAGGGGAGGGAGGACCTGGGCCGCCACGGGGCTTCCCCGGGCGCCTTTGTTGCCTTCTAAGTCCACTGGCCTCCCTGCGTGCTGTGCCTCAGAAATGACTTACTGATTTTGTCTCCTAGTCCCTTAGCTGTAACAGGCGAAGAAAAGGGGGCTAGGAGAGAGGTCTGCACGGTTGGCAGCGCCACGGTGGGGGAGGGGAGGAGGGCAGGGTGGGCAGGGGAAAGCGAGGGGCTTGTGGAGGAAGCTGCTGCTCCCAGGACGAGTCTACCAAGTTTTCTCTCTATTCCAGGACACCATCCAGCAGTTGGAAAATGAGCTCCGGGGAACCAAGTGGGAGATGGCGCGTCACTTGCGAGAGTACCAGGACCTCCTCAACGTCAAGATGGCTCTGGATATCGAGATCGCTGCGTACAGGTACTGCAGAGCGCGTCGCGGCCGGAAGGCTCACCGCACTGCGGAGGCGGCTCAGGCAGCGACCCGGCCCCTGAGCAAGAGCAGGCAGGCCACAAGGATCTGAGATCAGCGCCTGCTTTGCTAAACTAACGACGAATCTATTCTCAAGAGTTACAAACGTGTTTTGATCACTTTTATACAGCTTTTTTAAAAAAAGAATATGAGTTGAAATAAAGTTGTAGACACTTGTGGGGGGGGCACCGATTGAGGTCATAGTCTACGTTTTAGCTTTTTAATTTAGTGACAAAAATATTTTTGGATGCTCACGGCCCTCGTGAAGTTGTCATTCTTCCTATTTCCTCTGCTGGTTTCAGCAAGAGCCTCAAGGGCAAACGCCAGAACACCCTATTTCTGTTACAGCTTACCATTGCCATCATGTGGCTAAGACTGTACACACATACATTGCACATATGCAGCCGATGCACGTGTGTTACACTGTACTGTAAGATAAGCTGTAGGTACAGAAGTACGTGCCGTGCTCATCTTACCTCTAGGTAGCTAGATCTAAAGGTACATTATGGGCAGAACCACACACAGCTACATATACAGAGGCAGAGAGGTAGGATCTCTTCAAGGTGGAGAAATTGACCATGTTTCTTAACGTCACTTTGCTGTTGACTGAATTCAAAGTACAAAATCCTGCTTTTAGCAGTTTTCTCTTACCAGTAGGTAATTATAACAAGAATGAATTGCATTCTCCTTTTTCAGGGAAGCTCCATGCTGACTAGGCATTTTATGACTAAAATTGCAGACCAATTTATGACACATAAATTATAATTTGATACAGCCCAAGTTATAAAAGCATGCTTAATATTACTGTAAAATTTTCAGAAACTATCTTTGCTTTTAGAAATAGTACATATCCTGACAGTCCAAATGCTCAAGAAGAGCACTAAAGGATTTTGTGGGGGGGTGTTTTGTTTTGTTTTGTTTTGTTTGCTTTGGAGGTGTTTGGGCCACTAGAGAGCTTTTCGCCGAATTTATACTGCACCAAGTCACCAGAACTGCGGAGTAACACTTGGCAGCTGGGTGTGGTTGGTTGACTACTGGGAGGAATTATTACTGCAGAGGGCCAAGAGAGTGTCTCCGTCACTGAATATGACACAGCACATCCAGGCAATGACAGTAGACACCGCACTGGCTTGGAAGAATTTTTTCCTTGTGTGATTTTATTATCACAAGTAGCTACTACATTTTTCCATAGCATGATGAGGCCCAGAGGCCCAACTGGATTTTAATTATGTCTTATTTTCTTTGCTTCCCTCTTAGGAAACTCCTGGAGGGCGAAGAGACCAGGTTTAGCACATTTTCAGGAAGCATCACTGGGCCTATATACACACACCGACAGCCCTCAATCACAATATCCAGTAAGATTCAGAAAACCAAGGTGGAGGCCCCCAAGCTAAAGGTGCAACACAAATTTGTTGAAGAGATCATAGAAGAAACCAAAGTGGAGGATGAAAAGTCAGAAATGGAAGATGCCCTGACAGCCATTGCAGAGGAGTTGGCAGTTTCCACAAAAGAAGAAGAGAAGGAAGAAGAGGCAGAAGAAAAGGAAGAGGAACAAGAAGCTGAAGAAGTGGTGGCTACCAAAAAGTCCCCGGTGAAAGCTACCGCACCTGAAATTAAAGGAGAGGAAGAAGAGGAAAAGGAAGAAGAGGAGGAGGAGGAAGACGAGGGTGCTAAGTCTGACCAAGCTGAAGAGGGAGGATCTGAGAAGGAAGGCTCAAGTGAAAAGGATGAGGGTGAGCAGGAAGAGGAAGGAGAAACAGAAGCAGAAGGGGAGGGAGAGGAAGTGGAAGCTAAAGAGGAGAAAAAAGCCGAGGAGAAGAGTGAAGAGGTGGCTTCCAAAGAGGAGCTGGTGGCAGAGGCCAAGGCAGCAAAGCCAGAGAAAGCAAAGTCCCCTGCACCAAAGTCGCCCGTGGAAGAGGTGAAGCCGAAAGCAGAAGCTGCAGCAGGGAAAGGAGAGCAGAAAGAGAAAGTGGAGGAAGAAAAGAAAGAAGTCGCCAAGGAAGCTCCCAAAGAAGGGAAGGTGGAAAAGAAGGAGGAGAAGCCAAAAGATGTGCCAGAGAAGAAGAAAGCTGAATCCCCAGTGAAGGAGAAAGCTGTGGAGGATGTCACCCCCAAGCCAGTAAAGGTGAGCGTGGAGAAGGAGGCCAAAGAAGAGGAGAAGCCTCAGCAGCTGGAGAAGGAAAAGGAAAAGGAGAAGCCAGGAGAGGAGGGAGGGAGGGAGGAGGAAGGGAGTGGCCAGGACTCCAAGGAATCCAGGAAGGAAGACATAGCTGTGAATGGGGAGGTAGAAGGAAAAGAGGAGGAGGAGCAGGGAACTAAGGAAATGGGCAGTGGGAGAGAAGAGGAGAAAGGCGTGGTCACTAATGGGTTAGACCTGAGCCCAGCAGATGAGAGGAAGGGGGGTGACCAAAGCGATGGGAAGGTGGTGGTGACCAAAACAGTAGAAAAGATCACCAGTGAGGGAGGAGATGGTGCTACCAAATACATCACAAAATCTGTAACCGTCACTCAAAAGGTCGAAGAGCATGAAGAGACCTTTGAGGAGAAGCTAGTGTCGACTAAAAAAGTAGAAAAACTCACTTCACACGCTATAGTAAAGGAAGTCACCCAGAGTGACTAAGAATGGAGTCCATTGCAAAAAGGTTAAGCCATATGACAATTTCAAAATGCATGTGATTGACAGCTTCAACACAGAATGGGTTCTCCCATGGGGGCTCCGGACATTGTATTTTACTTTGCGCAATACAAGGGAACTGCATGCGAGCTCAGGGTGCCCCCGCCTCAGTCTTTGGGGGATTCAAGTGCATGATACTGTATCTGGGGAATTTGCCGATTTCCTAAGCTGTTGGAAGGGGGGCACTAAGGGGGGGATATCTTGGGATGTATTATGCAAAGTACCAACTGAGCCAAAAATAATAAATGAAACACAGAACTCTTAGCCTTAAGAAAGCTATATATGAATAATTATGATTACCTCACTGGTGCATTTAAAAGGGACTTTTGCTCATGGGAGAACCTCGCTGACATGCACAGTTTGCAAACTTATGTCGATAGTTGTTAAACGTCACCACAGTATTTGCTCAATAAAGGTCATATATTGGAAACATGGTTAATTGTTCGTGCTGCATCCCCGTGAAATCTCTGCTACCTAGAGTTCCCTCTCCATAGAATAGATTCTTTTCAGGAATTATAACAATCCTGCCTCTCTCATCCCTTTGCCCAAGAGTGTTCACTTTTGAAAATCTACTGGCCGAAGACATTTTCAGGGGTCAAAAGTCTCTACTTAGCCCAACCTTCACCCGACAGTTAAAAAGTTTGTTTCTGAAATAAACATAAAAAGCATCTGTTAAACAAGGAGTTGTGGGTAGACAGATGTGTTCCATCTCTAAATGTTTCCTTCTCAAACCAGAGAGGAGAGAACTTCAAAATGAGAGTGGAGTAAGGGAGTCACAGTTCACAATTTGGACTTGAGTTCTAGACCAAGGAAGTTGTGGAATTTTTATAACACTGTGTCTGCGATCAGTAATTCCCCCAACAAGGAATACTCAGTCTCAGAGACACACTTTTGCTACCTGCGCGAGCGTGCAAGTATACACACACACACACACACACACACACACACACACACGCATATTGCTGACTTTTCATTTGATTGTTAGAGACTTATGTTTTCAATATTTTACTCATTGGGGAAAATAATGTCAGAAATAAATAAAACATTATTCTTGGGGAAAGAAAATGAAAAAGAGATTCTCTGACATGGGCCGTGTGTGATTTTAGTTGAAAAGAGCTGATAATAAAACAAAAAAATAGCACCTGCCTTTCCAAATGTATTTGCTTGTGACCTTTACAACTATTAATATATTAATGAGCGTGTAGCTGTTCCATACCCTTACCTTTCTTATTAATAGGATCAACCCAATGATAGATATACTCTTTTGAATATTTTATCAAGATACCCCAATTTTAGAGACTAAATGTACCCAGGCAGCTCACTGGTAATGGTACTTTTGTGATGAGGTGTCCCCATTATTTTGCCAACAGTGCTGACAAATTTTGCTATATCTGCATATCATCTGTACAAATGTTTATTTATGTCTTCAGAACAACTCATGTTTTATTTTAAAACACTGATTTTTCTAAAGCAAATAATATCATGACACCCAAGGTGAAGCAGAACTATTTACATATAGTCAGCAAAAACTGACTCCAGCTAAGTGGAATTTATAAATAAAAAGAGCATATTGGGAGGACACAGAGCAACTTTTGGAATGGAAAGGTCAGCAGAAGAAGCAGGTGCTCAGGAGGGCGAGCTGTGTCAGCCTCCGAGGGACACAAGCCCCAGGAGCCACAACCCAGTCGCAGGGCCAGATGAGCGCAAAGGTTTCCGTTGCTTGTGTGAAATTTCAAAAAGAGAGCACCACATCTGGCTCCCATCTTGCCACCTCCCCATGGAGGGTGGCAGTCCCACCAACCCTGAATCCAGTCATGTGCAGCAACTCTCCCCTACGAAAGTCCAGGAGCTGCTACCAGAAGTGAGAATACAGACTGGATCTACACAGTGTGACCTATGCAGGTGTGCCTGCGAATCTAGTAAAAATATAAATAGTCCTGCAGCAAACAATCCCTTACCCCTAAAGGGATCTCACTGAGAGAGAGTATGAGTGCTGCTCTCAGGGGCATAGGAACCCCTTTTTGTAGTATATGCTGTTTTAAAATGGCAAGATTCAATCAGCAAACCTCCACGGCCACATTAGAGATTTATTCCATCAGCCCACACTTTGTTTTCAACTACCTCATTTTCTTTTCTAAGAATGCATCTATGTTTTCTAAAACACAGAATTGGTATTCTGACCTCTTTAAAAGTAGACCATTTCTTTATTTTTCCCCCATAATTTTATTGAGAAATAAATAGCAATGAGACAGTTTCAAACCAAATTGGTAGGACAGTTTCAATAATTAACACATTGCATACA